AGATAGAACTTTAGAATTTACTTGCAATATGCAGATGATCACTTTCCAATGACAGAGTTTGGGATTACAGTGTAACAATCCAAAAGGTTAACATTTGCTAGATGTTCTTAATTGATACCCGCTGTGTCATAAACCAGTGAGTTCTCCATGCTAGGTTGAAGCAGTATTATGCCTTAGGCATGTGCTTTTAGATATACTAAATAATAAAAATCTAAGTGGAGCCTGTATTTCCATAGTACAGTTGTTATAACTAATCCAATTTGAAAAATTAACAGTTGGTAATATTCAGAAATCTTTCCATTATTATGGCTCCTCAATTAGAGTGCAAGAAGATCAGAAGGGGTAGGAGAGAATGACTCAGCATATATTAAACTGATATACCAGTTTTCCAGTCAGCAAAGATATGCACAGATCTTCCTTCTAAATATGATTGTGCTGATAAATCTGTCTTGCAGCTCCGTTTCTGGCTTGGCTGTTCTCTGGTGCTACTGTGCCTGCAGGGAAAGAGGGTGAGCATTTTGCTGGCACACCCTTGACAGTGCTGGAGATTGGGGCGGGGTTCTCCTTTCCAGCTGCTTCTGGGTGGGCAACCAGGCCCGTACTTCGTTTGCACCCCTGTGACCAGAGCCTGAGATGCAAACTTGGAGGAAGGGGAACAGAGGGAAATGCTGTACCTGCACTCGTCAGAGGTAGTTTCAGTACTTTATGCATACTTCAATTAGTAATGTACAGAGAAGCTATATGTGAATTTGCCTTTCTGCTGTAGGGGAAGTTAAAGGAACGAACTCTCAATTCTGGTGGCTGCGTATGAGGGCAGAGATCTCTCAATATGTGGTTTCCTGTCAGACCTGCCTAATAGGGAAACAGAGGCCAGGAAAGCCTCCTGGGACTTTACAACCCCTTGAAATGCCAGAGAGACCATGGGCAATGATTTCTATGGGCTTTATAACTGACTTACCACCCAGTAAAGGTAAAACAGTTATTTGGGTGGTGGTCAACATGCTCTCTAAGCAGGCACACTTTACTCCTTGCACACAATTGCCCTCGGCCAAGTCACTAGCCAAGCTGTTCATGCATCACACCGTGAGGCTGCATTCCATTCCTTGCAAGATCATTTCGAACAGGGGATCGCAGTTCCTCGTTAAATTTTGGAAGGAGCTGCTGCAGGTGTTGGGGGTTGAAAAAGGTCTCCGCAGCTCCTATCACCCAGAGACGGATGGGCAAACTGAGAGGGTGAATCAAGTGGTAGAATAATTCCTCCGGTGTTTCACCAGTTACCAGGAGGACAACTGGGTAAACCACCTCCCTTACATGGAATACAGTTATAATAACTCAGTACACATTTCCACTGGCCTCTCACCTTTTAAGGCTGTGCACGGGTACGAAGGGGGCCCCTTCCCCACGGTGACTACCCAGGAGCCCAAACCGGTAGATGTGCAATCATGGGGGGAGGGGAACCTAAAGGATCGATGGTCCACAATCAAAGAGAGACTGAGAAAGGCAAAAGAACACTACAAAAAACAAGCTGATAAAGGGAGGTCTCCTGAATAGGAATTACAGTCTGGGGACTCAGTGTACCTCTCAACCAAAAATTTGAAGGTGATCCAGCTGGGGAGGAAATTGTGGTGGAAGTATATTGGACCTTTCAAAGTCTTGAAAGTCTTGAACAAAGTGGCTGTAGAACTTGAGTTACCCAAGACTCTGAGGCATATTCACCCTGTATTTCATTTCAGTCTGCCAGGAAAGTTGGGGGGGACGTGGTGGTAACTTGCAGCCGGGCGAAAGCCGAGGCCCCCATTAATGTTGAATCCTGGATTTGCAACTTTTTCAGTTTTTTCAGAGGGGGACATGAAGGACATTTAAACTGACAATTCAGCGAAGCAGAAGTAGGATGGCTGTTGGTACAGAGGTGGGAGACTGTGCCTAAGGACAGAGGGGAAATCCCACATAAAGACATTCACATCTCTGAGTTCTGGGCCCCAGATGTTGTGGAGACCCACGAACCAGTCGGCCATCCGGTCTCTGAGGCGTGACCCAATAAAATCCACATGGTGCTCGTCTGTGGCGAAAGTGGGACCCCAATCGAGTAAGAACTTGCGCACCTGCAGCATAAAAAAATGCCAGCTTCTCTGGGGGGCTGTCGAACGTAGCTTCCAAGGCATCACGCAGCGGCTCCGGTTGCAGGTGGCACGATCGGCCAAGCCGAGCTAGTAGGGATGACTGGGGGTGCTGGAGGAGGAGGCGGGAGCACCTGTGGAGGGGCTGGCAGTGCCCTCCCAGCTCCATCCTGGGCCCGTTTGTGATTCCTGAACTCCTGCTGGATGGCATCCATGATGATGCCCGGTAATTCTTGCATCATGGTTTGCATCTCTCTCCTGATCTCTTCAGCCTCACCTCTGAACTCTCTGCAGAGATGCTCAGCTTCAGTGTCTTCCACAGCACGGATGTGCTCAGAGTCCTCCTGGGACGAGCATCCGTAGTGCCTTTGGGTGCCATCGTACGCAAATCTCTCAGATCTGGAGTCACCACCCAGGTGGGCTCAGCCTAGATGGGGAGTGGTGCCCAGGAGTCTTGGTCCGCGTCCCACTTTCTGCTCCTTTTGCCTCCGTTGTTGCCCCCGAGGCCACCGTGGTCCCTTGCTCAGGCACGGCGCCATCCACCGCAGTTGTAGGAACCTCCCTGTCCTCTCTGCTCATCACAGTTGTGGTGGAGGAGGTTGAGAAGGGAAAAGGGGAGTCCTAACAATTTGTCAGGATCCTGGTTAAATCAATTCTCAACACCAGTCACTTCAAAGAAAGCTAACTTTATTGAGACATTGATAGTTACCATACTGGACACGAGCTATCGTCAGGTCTGAAGCTGAACGTGCAAAGATTGCAGATCTAGTGTGTTCAAGCAAAAGCACTAAAGATCAGGACCCAGTCACTCCGTGGTATTTGCCCGCCAGAATTAACAGTCAACTATCCCCCCACTAAGCACGTACCTCTCCCAGAGCATCCCTCCTGCCAAAACTAACCCCCCTCAGATATGTAGCCTCTACATAGCAAGAAAAACAGAATAACAGACATTTGAGAAGTCAGGGCATTTGGCCCCACTAAGGTGACAAGCCCCTGGCACATCAAAGAGAGAGGAACCTCCTCTCTCAATGGCAGGCAAGCTGTAAAATGCATAGGGAGCCTGACACATAATTAATCAAAGGTCACCTGCCAAACACCAAGGCAGAATGAGGATCCTAGGCCAGCACTCTAACCACTGTCTCTGCTGCCTTCCTGGTCCAGAGAGGACTCCTGTCCATGCAGAACATAATGTCTGCAATGTAATATCGGCACAATAGTGTTTTATTTAGTCTTCATATAGGATTTCTGTACCTTCTGCTACTTGCTTTCTCTGGTTGCTAAGCTCCTCTCCGGACTTGCTCTGCAAGTGCCAGTTTCAGTTTCTTATAAATCGGGGACCTTTTCTTCCATCTGCCTGGTGGAGAGAATCCCTCAGTGGAGGGGCACAGTCTCTGAAAATGTTATCATTGTTGGAGTGAGAGGGAAGTTACTGCCATAAATGTGTACACACAGAGACCCGACTAAGGAAACAAATCAGTTTGAATGACGTTTAATAAGAAATTTAATGAAGCTGAATAGAGGGTTTTGAAAAGGAAATGATTAGTGTTTGGACATTCCTCTGTGTTTCTGGAGAGGGGACAGAGGGGAGTTGTAGAGTGCAAGCTTTACATGATAAAAGCTTTGGGGTCAGTCTCCAGGACCCTCACTGTTTCAAGAAAAGAATCTGAAATAACTGTGCTAGAAGAGACCTTGCTGTCCCAAAGTCCTAGAAGAGAGCTACTGTCTGTCACTATTCCCAGCAGAACAAAGTTTGAGTCCAGTAGCACCTTTAAGACCAACAAAGTTTTATTCTGGGTATAAGTGTTTGGGCGTATGCACACTTTTTCAGATATATTGAAACGGAAGTCACCAACCTTTACATACAGGTAGAGGGTGGAGAAGGTGTTGCCAGAAAGGGCTAATTAGAGTCAAGATGCCTAAGTAACTGAGCCATAAATGTGGCTAGCTGTCCTGCTGCGCTCCCTATATATGTGTAGTAGGAACATGTCCTTTCCCAACACAGCCAAAAGAAAAAAGAAAAAGCAGCTCTGTTGGAACTTGCAAATTGGCAAGTGGGGCTTCATGACTTGCCTAAGGATTGGACCAGGCATGTCAAACATACAGCCTGTGGGCTGGAACCACAAGCCATTGATGACCTTTATTGCCAGGCGACAGAGGCTGTGCATTATGTCCCTGTGTACTGTCCCAGTGCTAATGCGTAATGGGCGGTGGAAGTGGGAGGTTGGGCATCGGGGAGATGCTGTAAGGAAATACTGTAAGAGTGTTAATGTGTTGGGCATGTCTGCATTTTGAGTAAAAAATAATGTTAATTGGGTTTGCCTGTGTCCTTTCTAAAGTTTATATCTCTGATAATGGCATTACATTTTGTGGCACACATAGCCGGACCCTACAAAGTGACAGATCCGGCCCTCGTAACAAATGAGTTTGACACCTCTGAATTAGACCATTGCTGTAGGTGACCTGGGTTTGATATAAAGGTTCAGTTCTGCCAACAGTGGAACCTCCTGCTGGTGCATGGAGCCTATGTTATTGGGATTGGAGGTAATGTTTCCTTTTCCCAGAAGGCAGAAGATTCCTTGTTCCACTGCAGAAGGCTCCTTGCTCTCTAGGAAGAGAAACTTGGAATACAGCCTCAAAATAAAATCCACTAAATGATAAACTTTCCAGCAATACATTGTGGAGTTTGATGTGCCCCATTTCTCTTGGGTAGTAATAACTGGCAAATGTTTTAAGTGACCCATTTGAACATTTAATAAAATAGATTGCATTTAAAATAAATATTTTTACTTGCTGAAATATCTTTTTTGTCAGATTTAACATTATTGTGTCCTGTCCGTCTTTTCTTGAAGCACTACAGTTACGCATTTTGTGTTCTTTTGCCAGGAGATCAAGAACCTGAAATTATGGGAGGAAAGCCGAAGCTGTACTACTTTGATGGCCGAGGCAAGATGGAACCGATAAGATGGCTGTTAGCAGCGGCCGGTGTGGAGGTTTGTTTCCTTGTCAGCTGACCCTGAAAAACGATAGGGGGAGGGGGTTGTGGTTTTTGTTTTTGTTCTTTTCAAGGAAAGAATGTATTCCAAAGTCTGTATGAATCCAGCAAAGCTGAAAATTGGGGGTGGGAAAGCTTGTTTTCATAGGAAAAACTTTCAGGGTGTTTTTTAAAAAGCAAGAAAAAAGAGAGCGCAAGAGAGCCAGCATAGGGTAGTGTTAGAAGGTTGGACTGGGATCTGGGAGACCCAAGTCCATATCCCCACTCTGCCATGGAAGCTTGTTGGGTGACCTTAGGTCAGTCAGCTACTTTCAGCCTAACCTACCTCACAGAGTCGTTGTGAGAATGAAATGGAAAGGAGGGGAAATGTTGTAAAGTGGGGGTGTAAATAAAGTAAATTAATGAATAAGTGTTTCTATTTCACTTTCTTTTGAAACCCTCCCAGGCAATGCACAGCTGCACTTTTCTCTTGATGGGACCAGTCCTACTCCAATTCCTGTAAGCTTAGTTTTTTCCGTGATAGATGCAGGGGAAAGGTACTAGCTTTGCTGCATAGGGTTGCCAGCCTCCGAGTGATGGCTGGAGATCTCCTGGGACCACACCTGATCTCTAGGCAACAGATCATCTAGAGAAAACGGCCACTTTGGAAGGTGGACTCTATGACACTATACCCCATTGAAGTCGTTCCCAAAACCCCACCCTCCTCAGACTCCACCCCCAAAATCTCCAGGTATTTCCCAACCCAGAGCTGGCATATCCAGTGCCACGCGCTATTGTTCATTTTTTGTTTTTGTAAATTGTGGCAGCTGTAGCTGCAGTTTGGGAGAGGAGGGTGAACTGCGTTTAAAGAAAGATATTTTAAAATACTGAAAACGCAAGTTGTATAACACTATGGGACATTGATCTAGAGAGTATGGTAGCTTTTCTGGGGTTTTCCACTAAAGGACGGTAGGAATGTTGCTGTATTTAAGAAGCTCAGTGTGGGATGTTTTGGGCTCTCTAAAGAAGCTATAACAAATCCCACTTAAAATTTGCAAAAGAGCTCAGGCATGAGATGTAGTTTTCAGTAATGATATCACACGCACTGGCTTATATGACACTTTCTAGAATCATTTTGACAAAAGCACTCTGGATTCCTCAGCAAGTTAGTCAACGTGGCACATTGTATTGTCAATGGGAATGGTCTTGGAAGTTTGTATTGGTCCCGTAAAATTGTAACTTATGTTTTAAGAGACTTGGGAAGGGAGTTGGCTCAAATGTCCAATTCTTTAAGCCTTTTTGCCTCAAATCTGTCAGGACTGCTTTATGAAATGTTTTTCCTGAGCAGCTTCGATTATCTTCTGCCAAATGACATGTAATCGATCTTGATTTATGATGGTGTTTTCTGTCCTAAACCAGTCTTACAAATCCAAAAGAGATTTTGGACCATGATTTGGTATGGCGTGCATGAGCCCTGTGTTCATGCCCACTTTCTCTTGGAATCCAACACACAGTCTTCCTGGAGAGATTTGTTTCTGAGATTATGCTGTTTTACTAATGTGCCAGACATTACCTCCGGCTGATATTTTTCATTGGAGAGCCAACATGGTGTAGTGGTTAGAGTGTTGGACTAGGAACTGGGAGTGTTAGGTTCAAATCCCCACTGTACAGTGGTAGCTTGCTGGGTGACCTTGGTACAGGCACGCTGTGATGCAAAACACCCTTGGCCTCTTCGCAGGGGTTAATGTGGTTAATCAGGCCTAGTTCATCCTGCAGGTGTTATTAACTGGTTTCTCAGCCTCTACTATTCTTATAATCTTCAAAGCCAGAGGGAGGGTGCCGTGATTAGCTTCTCATCAGAACCTGCTGGCCATAGGATGGGGGAAGGAGAGCCGGGGTGATGAGGTGATCTCCTAGAGCAGTGGTTCTCATCCTTCCTAACTCCGCGACCCTTTAATACAGTTCCTCATGTTGTGGTGACCCCAACCATAAAATTATTTTCATTGCTACTTCATAACTGTAATTTTGCTACTGTTATGAATCGTAATATAAATATCTGATATGCAGGGTGTATTTTCATTGTTACAAATTGGGAGCCCTATCCTAAGACCATCGGAAATTTGTGTTTTCTGATGGTTTTAGGCAACCCCTGTGAAAGGGTCATTCGACCCCCAAAGGGGTCGCGACCCACAGGTGGAGAACCGCTTTCCTAGAGGCTTCCTCAGAAAGCATGTTCTGATTGGATGTCATCCCCATCTGATGTTGCTGGGCCAAAAACTATAATTCAGCTAAGGCCCAGAGAAGGGAACACTAGCTGAGATCCTGATGGATTGAAGGCCTAAACTATGACCTGCTTGAATGCTAGCAACATAGATAATTCCCAAGCTTTGACCTGTGCTTTTTGGAATTTAAGATTTGTGCCGTCTAATGCAAACTCTAAAAAGTGTTAGACAGCTGATTTAATCTTTCTTGGTTTCTTCCTGCATGCTTTTGGTGTAATGTAGTGACTGTTGAATAAATTTTCCTAATAGCTTGAATCTCACAATAAATGTTATACATTCTTTTATAATAAGCAACAGTCTGGTTACTTGTGTACAACTGCCCTTGGGACCCATGGGGTTCGGGCCTTGAACACCCTGACACAGGCATTCTCAGCCTAACTACCTCACAGGGTTTTTGGGAGCGTAAATCAGAGGAGCAGAGAGCATATAAAAGAAGCAGAAGAAGCTGACACATGAACTGGAGTTACCAATCCATAACTTTCACGTACTGTCTTGATCAACAGGAATTTCTGTATACTTCAGACAGCAGTCTGAACGTCAGAAGTGCTCTTTACTGCACAAGCCCACTGACTCTTTGCTTTGGAGCATTTATTTTTCATAACTTTTCAGGGTACTTATTTTTCAAAATCCTAGATCAGGATTTTTTCAAAACTGATTCAAAAATCTTACCATAAAATAATTAATCGCAGGTTTAGGAGTATATGGTATTGCAGGTATATGAGTTTTTAATGCAAATCGAGATGTTTTTCTTTTCCTCTCCTAGCCTTGTGCAGTTTTTATGTATGAGTCAGTTTAAAAATAATTCAGGAGCAATATGTGGAGAGAGAGGAACAGAAAGTCTCCTAGGAAGTGGAGACAAGCATTTCACTAGCTATGGAGATCTAACTGTATTGGGAACGCATAGACCCCTGATAAGAAACTGTACAGTGTAATACTTTCTGCTTACATTTGCTGTTGGAAAACGATAAGCTTGAGGTACTTGTCCTTGGATCCCACTCAACTATGATCATAGGTTCTGGAGCAATTCCTTTTATGTTTTTCTCTCTTTCATAGTTTGATGAGGAATTTCTGGAGACACGAGAACAATATGAGAAGCTTCTACAAGGTAAATCTCACTGACAGAAGTCTTGATGTTTGGCCAGATTTTGCCCCCTCTGGCTGTGGGGG